GGCGGGGATCCGGAGGTTCCGGGCGGCTGGGCTCGGGGTCTCCCCGTCTGCCCTGCTTTGGGGGCGGGCCGGGAGCACTTCTGGTGGCCTGGGGCCTGGTAGGACCCTGAGGTTACCTGTAGTATCGGTTCGCAGACCTCCCCTTTCTCTCTGTTTCACAAACCCTCGGTCCTGACAGCTCAGCCCGAGGGGCTGAGTCTTGTTTCACAGACCTGGACCCTTCCTTCCTGGGGATCGGGTGGGGTCAACAAAGAGCAGCAAGTCCTAGAACACAGTCTGAGGCCTCAACTTCAAAAACCAGCCTGAACTATGGCGAGACACCCTGTCTCAAAAAGCAAAACAACCCATTCAAGTCTTCTATTCTGAAACGAACATCGTTTCTCTCTCTACGTTAGAGAATTAAACTCCCAAAACTGTCTCACCTTTGTAAGCCCGTGTGCAGCACAGTGCCCGGGAGTTTGAAGTCTTAAGTCATGGTTGTGGAATTAATGAATGAGGCGTTCTTATTTTACAGGTATGGAATTTGAAGCAGAAGAGATTGAGTAACTTGTTCAAGATCATGCTTATTTGGTGATGAAGCTGGATTCTTTTTTTTTTTTTGCGAGGGGATTTGTTTGCTTGTGGTTTTGACACAGGGCCTCGCTCTGTAGCCCAGGCTGGCCTCGAACTCTCCGGAATCCTCTGGTTTCTGCTTCCCAAGTGCTGGGGTGACAGGGCGTCTGCCACTACGCTTGGCAATGAAGCTAGATTCTAACCTGCAGGCTGGCTCCAGAACGTACGTTTTTAGGGTTTTCGTGAAATACAGCCCAAGATATTCATTACTCTTCACAGCGGATCTACTTAATACATGATTTTTAAAGAATTGGGGGGGGGTAATTTCCACTCTAAAGACAGTTTCTGGCAAGACATCTGAAACCAAGCCAAAAATTTTTTTGTAATTTAATAAAACAAAATAATGAAATTGATTTCCCCTCAGAATAAGGGTTATTTTTCGGTTTGCAGTGTATAATTTGTGTCCCTGTTGTGAGGGAATAGATATCTTCGAAATATACCTGGGCCAAAGCATCCTGTGGGTGCACATTCAACATTGTGCAACGAAGGTGCTAGGAACTCTTGAAGAGCCAGTCTGAGATCAACTCCCCAATACCAGAGAAGAATGTGTCATATGTACGTGGTGTCTGTGACACCTTAGCCCCAAGGAGGTGTTTGAATATGATATATTAGTCATGACGTTAGGGTGTGGATAATCCCAAGAAGAATTAGTAAATAGGGTAGGTCGCATTGATTTTGTCATGTCAACAGCATGTCCCAAACCAAACCTATTCTGCTCCGAACTGCTTTTGCTTAGTGCCTGACATTAACAGCTTCCTAATCACTCAAACTGGGGACCGCAGTGTCATTGCTGAGTCTTCATTTCTTACCTCATAAAGGTTTCATCATCCATTTCTATAATCAAAAAGTCTCTGATTCCAAATTTGAGGTCTAATCCCAATGTGTGAGCAATGGTAGTGTTCATGTGAAGGGGAATGAATGCATATTTCTATCTCTATACTTTAGTCAATCTTAAAAAATTTTAATGATAGCTGGGAGTAATGGCAGATGCCTGTAATCCCAACACTCTGGGCGACTGAAGCGGGAAGATCACAAGTTGGAGCCCAGCCTGGGCAACTTAGCAATTTAGAAGACCCTGTCTCAAAAAGATGGCTTGGGATATAGGTTGTGTGAAAGCCCTAGGTTTAATCCCCAGTGCTGGAGAAAAAAATTAAAGTTTAATGGTGTCTCATTATTTGTTAACTATAAAGTTCTTCAACCCTCATTCCAACTCATGCTTCTTTCATTTTATGTATATAGATAGCCTCCCTCTCTTCCCTTTTGCTTTGTCCTCTGACCATGAGGTGTCTACCCCATTTCCTGGATATTGGCGGTGTGTTCTCACCTTGGTATCTTTAATCACTTTGTTCTGTCTTTTAACACCATTAATGCCCATCAATGCTGGTCTCACTTCATCCAGGATGCCAGTTCCTTTAGAAGCATCTAAGGATGCTTCTACAGGATTTTATTATTTCTGTAGTTTCACACTATAGAAAAGAGACCCTAGAGCAAGAATTAATCTTTGTAATGCTTCCAAAATCCGTCTTATTTTACAGTTAGCCTTTTCTTAGTCTTCCATTCCCTTAGGATTATAAAGTTTTTATTTTTATTTTTTAATTTATTTTTTGTACTGGGGATTGAACTTGGATTATAAAGTTTTTAAAGACTGGGATTAAAAAAAGAGAGACTGGGATCATCAGTTATTTACTATTCCTCAAAGAAGACCTTTTTTTGTTATAAATCATATCAGTGAATTTCATTACATTTAAAATGTTGAACATTTGACTTTAGAACTCACAACATAATGGGAAGCAGAAATTTATAAATTGCTAATAACTCTCCATCTCATTCTAGAATATTGTTTCCTCATTCATTTATGTCTACTGCTTTGGTCTTAATTCACCTCCCTCATCAATATAGTGAAGGTTATTTTACAGTTTAGTCATCATGTTTGCCTGGGAGGGTGAGGACTCAATGGCCAGCTTTTCTAAAGATCCACTGACAATGGATCTCTTGGACAGATCCCTTTCTATCGCTATCTCTCTCTCCATGTATATGTAATTGGGTGTGCTTCTAATGTGCTCTAATGGTAATTTTAGAGAAATTAAAATGCCACAGTAAAGTTTTGCTGCTGTATTGTTACTCACAATATGCCTGTGTTTTCTTTTTCCTAACCCCATACAACTGAGGAGGAGTGATATTTATATATTTAGTGTCAAAGATGGGATCCCAGTAGATGATAGAATATTTTAAAACAAGGTACGAAATGGATGGGACTAAATTATGTCATAGACATAGACACTGCTTTTAGTGCTTATATTGCTCTCAAATCTCCAAATACCCCATCACAAATTCCTAGTACTTGGCTTTCTTCAACTACTCATCCACTCCATATCCTCTGCTTTCTCTTGTAGAAATTTTCCTTCCCTTATGTAGTTGAATACTTTTTTTGAATAAATCGTAATGAATGGTTTACTTTTAACCATACGAGACAATCTGAGACAGTTTAAAATTTTTTTGGGGACAGAAAACCCAATGGTAACTGTTAACCTATGGGCTGGTGTCAGGCAGTGAGAACAAGGCTGTGGGAACTTGAGCTACGCATGTTTAAAATGCTTATGTGTGGCTCAGTGGTAGTGTGTGCTTAACAAGCCAAAGGCCCTAGGTTCAATGCCCAGCACCAAACCTATCTAAGTTAAAAACAACAACAACTTGTGTTTTTGGAGGGCATAATTCAGGGCTCAGCTAAAATGTCACTTACTGAAGAGACCTTTTTTTTTTTTTTTTTTTTTTTTTGAGACAGAGACTCACTATGTAGTCCAGGTTGGCCTTGAACGCATGACTATCCTTCTGCCTCAGCCTCCCAAGTACTAGGATTACAGGCATATGCCATTATACCTGGCTTGAAGAGACTTCTATAATCCAGTGAATTCTAAAGTGTTTTCTTTCACAGCATCCCATTTTCTTCATAGCACTTACAACTATCTGAAATGATTTTTTTTTTTGGTACTGGGGATCGGGGATCGAACTCAGATCCTTGTGCTTGCAAGGCAAGTGGTGGAACTACTGAGCTAGATTCCACAGCCCTGAAATGATCTTATTTATTAGTTCACTTGATGGTTATCTATTTCCTCTGGCTGGCCTCAAGCTCAGGACACCCCTCCTGCCTCAGACTCCTGAGTGCTGGGATTGCAGGCATGTGTCACTACACCCAGCTCAATTCCATCCAATTTTTTGGTTTTGGTTTTGGTTTTTTGAGACAGGGTCTTACTACGGATTGCTCTGGAACTCACTGTGTAGCCCAGGCTGGTCTCAAACTCACAGCGATCCTCTTGCCTCAGCCTCCCGAGTGCTAGGATTACAGGCGTGTGCCACCACGCCCGGCCTCCATCCAAATTCTATGCTAGGTGTTCAATATCTCTGTGCAGAACATAACAAATATTAACCCCAATTTAAAGAAAATTCCATGTCATAGTAAAATTTGGGTTTGCTACAGTATTTTACAAATACAACATGCATTTTTATTTAACGTAGCTCATACTTTTTTATGTTATTTTTTGGGCTGAGGATCAAATTCAGAAACTACACTGAGCTACACCTCCAGCCCCATATCGCAAATTTAAAATATTCACTTTAAATATGATTTTAAGCCTAGTTATTAAAGTTTAAGTGTACTTAAGAACTTTAGATTTTCTATATCATAGCTGTCAAATATAATAGCAGAATTTAATACTACTGAAATTTAAAGAAGTTAGGACCTAAAAGAAGTGGTGGCTGCTGGAAAGCTATTGTTTCCAGATGAACAGTAAAATTAAGAGACCAATGACCAGGGAAAAAAGCAATGGATGAACCATCCTACCAGGACTGCATTGCCTGGGAAACCAAAGAGAAGTTAGTGAGCATTTGCTCTAGTGCCCAAATCCACACCGTTTACTCTTGCCCTCCAAATCTTGTAAAGAAACAAGTGAAAGAAGAAAGAAGGAAAGGGAAGAGCCGGCGAGGCAGGGAGAGAGGGCAGGGCTGGGGCTGCGGTGGGTGGGACGAGAGGTGGGCGGGGCGCCTATCGGAGGAGGAATCGCGCGCCAAGCCCGCCCCGCGCCGTCTGTTTCCCAGGTAACCGGGTGAACACACACGCGTACTCTTCCGTGAATTCCGCGGAGAGTTCTGGGCAGGCGGGAAGCGGCGCAGGTGGGCGGAGTGGAGGTGTGCTCTTTCGTGAGAGTGGAGTCTCCGAAGGGGTTGAAAACTTCCCCGGAGCTAAGTACCGCTCTCCCGTTAGAGATGAACGCCCACGGAAGAACGAGGGTGTCTGAGGGGAAGCGTCGCCTGAGCACTGCGTTCGGGAGCACCCAAGAGAAGGATGATTCGGGAGACCAGAGGGACTTTGTGGGAACAAAATCTGCCACGGAGTTAGGGCTTGGAATGGGATTAGGAAAAGAAGATTCCCAATGGAGGGAGAACCCTGGAGTTAGCAATAAATATAAGGACAGGATGGCATCGCCAGAAACAAAATCTCCTCTTGGCAAGAAGCTTGAAATGGGATCGAAAAAACAGACTATTGCTAGTACTCTCACGGGGAGAGGCAATTTAGGGGTCAGCAGGGTCTCAGCTTTACAGGAAGCAAAACCCCTGGATGTGTTACCAGGGAGAGGGGTGGGATTGGAAAATGAGCGTTGCCTGGCACGTGGTCCCTTGGGCATGGCGTGTGGAAGTCCACGGGCTGTAGGGAACAGAAGAGGTCCTGTGGCCAGTGGCCCTGAAGGGATAGAGCCTTCAATGGGAAAACAGCCTGTTTTAGATTTAGAAGGGAGACCGGAACTGGAGAAAGAACCTATCTGTGTTGTGATGAAACCCAGCACAGAGGGGAAGCCCCCCGTGGAGGTGGACACTGGCCTACCCCACGCTGAGGAGTCAGATGAAACTCAGATTATAGAGCCCCAGGTGGGTTTGGTAATAGAACCGCCGCAGTGCCAGTTTGCCCAGCAACCGGAAGAGGCTGGAACTCTTGAACCAGGAGTGGAACCTCCAGACCGCATCAGACCCATATACTCTGGGAAATTTGTTGATCGGATACCTTGCTGGCCAACTGTAAGTTTTTTCCCCCTTGTACTTTTTGTTTTGGTACCGGGAATCGAACTCGGGACCTTGGACTTGTACAGCAAGCGACGAAACCACTGAGCTAAATCCCGGGCCCCCTTGTACTTCTCTATGAGCCATGTATAGCCATGTCTTTACTGAAATGATAAAAGTGTAAAGACTTGTTGGGGTTTGTGGAGACAGATCACAAAGATTTCACTGGTTCTAATACCCTTACCCCACTGAACCTTGCAGGTGTTACTTTGATAGCCTTTTATTCCCTACCGTCCTTCCTAGATGTGACCTTTGTTTTCTATGCACAAAAGTGGTTGTTCTAATATCTTCCTTTTCTCCTTGAACCTTTGTTTAATTTCTTAGTCTTCACTCTGTCACCCTCTCACCAGCTCAGATTCATATGCTACCCAAGTATTCATACTATGAATGGAAAAAAAATTTTTTTCCTGTGTATTGTATGCTCCGTGAGTTTGTTACTTTCAACAAAGACTTGTAGTGGACATTGTGCTGGTACTACAAAATGGATACTACTAAATGAAAAATATGTGATTTCTGCCTTTTTAGTTTAGGCTCACTCTAGTGCTGGAGACAGAGACCTAAATGAATATTATCCAGGTGTCTAAATAATTACAAATCTGGTTTTTTGGGAGGGTCCTGGAGATTGAACTCAGGACCTTGAGGTTGTGAGGCAGGTGGTGGAACCACTAAGCTAAATCCCTGGCCCTTACAAATATTATGCTTCCTTCATAGAAATGCGTTCTTGCCAGGTGTGGAGATTATAACTGCTAATTAGGAGACTGCATTAGAAGGATCACAAGTTCAAGCCCAGCCTGGGCAATTTAGGGAGACCTTACCTAAAAAAATAAAAATAAAAGGTGGGCTGGGGATCTAGCTCAGTGCTTCTGCTGCCTGCCTTGCAAGCTCAAGGATCCCAGTTTGATCCCCGGTACCAAGGAATAAATAAATACATAAAATAAAACAATAATAAAAAATAAAAAATTAAAAGGAGACATGGCTGTAGCTCCGTGGTAGTATACCTCCAGTTCTATCCCCAGTACTAGGGGGGAAATTCTCTTTTTCTTTTTTTTTTTTAAGTATTTATTTATTTATTTTCCTCTCTTTTTCTTTTGAGACAAGGTCCCATTGTGTAGCCCAGGCTGGCCTGGAACTCATGGTGATCCTTCTGCCTCAGCCTCCCAGTGCTGGCATTACAGGCATGTACCACCAGGCCCAGCTGGGAGAAAACACTCCTACACATATAGCTGAACGGAAATATTTATAATTTGGTTCAGAGGTGACTGGAAAAGCTTAAATAAGACAGTAATGTTTGGGCTGACATTGAAAGGGAACAACTGGAGTTGTAGCTCAATGGTATATCATCTGCTTAGCCTGCAAGAACCTCTGGTTCCATCCCTAGTGCCACAAAAAGAAAAATAAGGTATTTTGAGCAAAGAAAGACACTGAGGATGACCAAAGGCTCTTGTATTTGGGAGAGATAAATAATGGTGTTTAGGCAACATTGTGTTGAGAGGTAAAGAAGGAATCTAAAGGTTTGGGATGCAGGGTAAAACATATGGGTCCAGGGTCAGTAGTGGATTTTAAGAAGTTTAAGAAAATACAATTTTCCTTTTGGAACAATGTTTTAAAAAATCAATTATTTTTGATACAAGGTCTTGCTATATAGTTTAGGATGGCCTTGAACTCACTATGTACTCCAGACTGGCCTTGATCTCCTGGCATTCCTCCTGCCTCATCTTCCTGAGTGCTGGGATTACAGGTGTGCACCTTCATGTCCGGCAAGATTTTGTTTTCTTGCAGTGCTGGGGATTGAATCCAGGACCTCATGTGTACTGAGCAAGAACTTTACCACCGAACTATATTCCCAGCCCTGGAAAGATAAATTTCACGTCAGTGGTAATAGTGGACTGGAAGGGGAGGATTTTGAATGCCAGGTAGGAAATTAGAAGGCCCTTCCAATGTAATGAGGGACTGAAGTGAAGTGAACGTGGAAATATAAAGAATATAAAGGAGAGTGCAATTCTGGAAATTTTGTTTGCTGTGTAGGAGCTCAAACTTCAAGCTTTGCATGTGCCAGTCGAGTGCTTACTACTGAGCTACATCCCCAGCTAAGGGATAGTTTAAAGAAAGGGCATCCAGTTATCTACATGGTGAGAATGAGGGACGCTGACTGTAACTGAGAAGTTTCCACAATTTTTAGGTGTGCTGGCAAAGGAATATCTAGTGTTGGCCATCTTGGGTTGGAAATAGCTTGCAAAGAAGCTGGGGAAACTATTGGTAAGTGAGATACTTGAAGCTGTGGATGGGGATTAGGGAAGGTGCAGGCAGAGACTTTGGGAAAAATTAATTTTATGAGACAGACAACAGAAGAGATGTCAGAAAGGTAACTTTTTTTTTTTTTTTTTTTTTTTTTGGAGGGTTTTCCCCATGAGTTTGGTGGGCCTGTATTGTAGCCCAAGCTGGCCTCAAGCTCCAGGCAGTCCTCCTGCCTATAAGGTGAACTTTTTTTTTTTTTTAAATCTTATTGAGTTTATTGGCACCTTTTAAGTATACAGTACAGTTACATTCATCATTGAGATCTTGTACCTTTACCTGACAGGTCTTGCTATAAGGTGAACTCTTAAGGGCAAAATCTGTGTCATATTTATTGTTTACCTTCATGGTTTATCCCAATGCCTTCCATACAATAGTCAGCAAATGTATTTTTAATAATTTAAGTCAGGATGATTAAATAGGAAAGACAATGGAGAAGGAAGAGGCAGGTCTGAGAGTAGGGTATAGAACATCAAGAAGGCATTTTTAAGGCTTCTGGGAATAAAAGATTCCACAAACTGAAATTTGAGAATACAACTGTTAAAGAGGTCACAGGGCTTCTGCCGAATTGTGTCATCTATGGGCTTTTGTTCCCCTCGGGACTCGGTGTTTTGTGTTTGACCCATTTTGCTTTCTGGATCCATCACTGGATTTCCCCAGCCACTGCCTTTTGACTTGCTGCTTCCAGTTTTTGAATTGGTTCCGCAGTTTATGTCTTCAGATCTGATCACACACACACACACACACACACACACACACACACACACACACACAAAAAGACTTAGCTTCTAGTTTCCAAAGCAGATACCTCATTCCAAAACCTCTGCTTCCTCCCAACTCACGCATTCTTCCTACTGAAAAGTCAGGATGGAGAAGAGCGCCTTCCCAAAACATCTTTGATAGGGCAAGTAGGACAGCATATAACTTGGCTATTAAGGGAATTAGCATCATTAGAATGGCGTAATAGGGGCTGGGGATTTAGCTCAGTGGTTCTGCTGCCTGCCTTGCGAGCACAAGGACCCAAGTTTGATCCCCAGTACCAAAAAAAAAAAAAAAAAAAAAGAATGGCGTAATAGCTGGATATGCTGGCACGTGTCTGTAATCTCAGCACTCAGGAAGCTGAGGCAGGAGGATCACTGTGAGTCTGAGCCAGCCTGGGCTACATAGTAAGTTCAGGGCCAGCCTGAACTACAAAGTGAGAACCCTGCCTAAAAAAAACAAAAACAACAACAACAAAATGGCATAATAGGCTGTCATGGCCTTCCTCACTAAAAAAAAAAAAGAAAAAGTGGCATAATGGAAAAATTCAGGTTAAAATATGCTGAAGAGTGAATTAGATCTTGAAATTGGAGAAAGCTTTAAGATGTGTTATGCAAGTACCAATGCCCCATGACGAATCATTTTCTATAGCAAATGTACAAATAAAAACAAAAAGTTAAAAAAGAATTGGAAAACAGTCTAGCATGGTAGTGCATGCTTGTAATCCCAGCACTCAGGAGGCTGAGGCAGGAGGATTGCCTGAAGTTCAAGGCTGGCCTGGGCTACATAGTGAGTTTAAGGCTAGCCTGAACTACATAGTGAGACTCTGTCTCAAACAAACAAACAAACACACAAACAAACAATAGCATCTTGCTGAGTCATTACATTTTCCAAGCTGGACTCATACTTGTCATCTTCCTGCCTCAGCCTCCCAGAGTGCTGGAATTACAGACATGTACCACTGTACCCAACTTGGTTTTCATTTTGAACAGCTGTCACACCCAGCTGGTAAAAAATTGATCATTATTTGTTAGGCATTGTTAAAATTCACATTATGGCAGGGGCATGGGGAAAAAATAAGAACCAAGACATATCGTGTAAAGGTACAAGATCGCAATGATAAATGTAAGTGTATCTTTTGCTTTAAATGTACTAATACACTTAATGGGAAAATAACTCACATTTATTTAACTTATCATTCGGTTGGAAACTGCTCCATATATTGTTCTCATTGTTTTTGTTGTCCCTGTGTTTGGTCACCTTGCTGAATTCTGATTAGTCATAAGTATTTATCATTATCGTCACTGGATTTTTCTAGGAAGACGTCAGATCGATCATTTTGTGCCAGGTGTTATTAAAAACAATACAGTGACTATTAAGAAGCTTTGAAAGCTTGTTGCAGTAAGATACATTGCTGTTAATCATCTCATACTCTCCCCGAATTTTAACACACATAGGATAATATCGGTCTTGCTGCTTTCTAAAACAGTCCTGAAAGTTCTCTTGTGTCTGGTTTCAAGTGCTGTCATGGCTACCTTGATGTGCTAAATAGATGCAGAATGTTTACCTTTCATGGTCATTTTAACTTTGGGGAAGAGCCAGGTCTGGTGAATAAGGTGTGTGAAGACACGCTGGGATGTTTTTACAAGGCTGCCTTTCTGCTGTGTGGCACCTGGCAGCAGCACGCACTAGCTGGGGATCGAACTTGGGACCTTGTGCTTGGGAGGCAGGTGGAGGAACCACTGAGCTAAATTCCCTGGCCCCACTCGCTATATTTTTTTCCTCACACCTTGTAAAAATGGTCACTAAAGAGAACTTTCAGAACTGCTTTGGCAAGTGGCAAAAACGATGTGCTAAGTGTGTTGGAAATGGAAGTGAGAGGAATTAATGGCAATATATGTATGCAT